AGAAGCGACTCTTTGCGTTGCTAGCGCAAATGTCATCCGCGGGATACTGTGTAATCCGGTCTACGATCGGTTCCAGTCTCGGGGTCTTCCGTGCGCGCCGCGCCAGCCGGCAGTGACTGAAATCGTCGTACAGGAAGAAAATCCGGGGGTTCCCTCTTTTTTCTTTTCCCCCGCTCGCGATCCGCGCCCTTACGCTCTCCGCCGCCCCCGTCGACGTTTGCGGAATGCTTATCTGCCGAAGAGCGAGAGAGAGAGAAGAAAAAAAAACGTACGAGAGGAAGGGGCAGAAGGTGACGGTGGAGAAGAAAGGGGGTCATCGCCAAGATCGCAACAGTATATCATCATCAAGTTGACATCTGTACCGCTCTATCCCTCTAATCCTCTCTCTCTCTCTCTTTTTCCAACTCTCGCTCCCTCTTCCGCGTGCTGTGCAAGTGCAAGTTTTTTTCTCTCGCTCTCCTAATTTCGCTTTTCTGCTACCCGCAAAATCACTTCACGATTCCCTTGTGATGTGAGTAGAGTACCAGTCTCATCTCGTTCAAATCTTCCTAGTTCAAATATGATCGGCTCTTTTCTTCGTGGGCTTTAACCGTATCGATAGGACACATCGTTTAATATGATATAGCTCTTTCGGGATTCAGGACAGACCGAAAATAGTTTTGTTATAAAAATAAAATCTTTTATCACGAGCATATTTCGAAATTTGACCATTCACATCTTCCTCCAACATAAAACTTAAAATAAAATGGCAATTATATTTCTGAGACAATTTTATACAATTACAATATCGAATCAAAATAAAATAAAATTAACATCTTAAGTTTTTTTATTTGTAATAAAATTAATAATAATAGCAACGAGGTTATTAATATTTCAATTAAAAATGGGCTATTTTTCAAAGGAAGCAAGAGATCTCATATAAGAAATATAATTTAAATATTTTTATGTGTTTATTAATTATATATAGAATTAAATATTCAATAAAGCAGAGGAAATGTTATTATATTCATGTATTAATTTGCATTTAATTTAGAGCGTTCTTTTAGTCACCGAATAATGCGATTGTAATCTATATTAAAAGAAGACCGTCTTATTTATTCGCTTGAATTAATGCTTTAAATTATAATTTTAAATAATTAAAACGCAACTCAAACTTAATTATCGATTCTGAAGTTACTTTTCGAATCTCGAATAATATCTTCAAAGATATCTTACTTTTTGAATGTCTCCACGGTGTCTACTTATAGCAAATTGACTAAACTTGACTCACATTTCATTTAATATGTATTTTAGAACCCCTTTTTTTCGATGCCACGTGTGGTATACAATAATTATGTCTCGCAAGATTCCCCTCGATTAGAGATGCGCTTGTGTCGTGGACTTCCATTATCACTTCTCCCGGATAACCCTCATTTAACGGCTGCTAAATGTATTTGCTAAGGAGCAGATGAGATCACTGCCTGATTTTCTTGAATCGTTCTCGTTTCATTTTGCATTTCAATTCGCAGAATGATTATTAAAGTGAAATCATCTTAGATGTAACCTTTTTCTCCGACAGAAAGAAAAACGTACAAAATTAGTCACATATATTTACTTAATCAAATTTTCTACTAATAAGAAGAATACTCAAATTTTGTTATATTATTTGAAAAGTACAGTTATTACAATTTTTTTTCTAAAATATTAATTTAATAATTATATTAAGAGGCATTAATTAAATAAATATATTAGCCATCTGTTTTATTGATTAACAACATTAATTGCGCGTTTATTCACAAAAATGACACGTTTTGATATAAAATTCATTGTTTATAAACATAAATTCCAATATTTTTTCGATCGAATAGTATGATTTCATTTTTTCATTATGCAGATTCAAGATTAGATTCAGGATTAAATTTCTTAATTCAAAATATGCTATCGACGTGAAAACAAAATGGCACACATTTATTACATAATTAACGACACAAATTAATCGCATTATGTCTCATCGCAAATGTCTCGTCAAATTAATACACGATTGCATGAAAAATCGTAAATAAATAATTTGTTTAATCGTACCAAAATTCTGTTTTCAAAATGAACGAATCAGAAATTACCAATTCCCAGAAATTTCCAATTGAAATTACCAAATTTCTATTTAAATTAACCAGAAGTCTTGTCTTAGTTTAAACTGAATTCTGATAACTCCGCCATTTTTAAATTTTTCGAGTTTTGAGTGACGGAACGATACATACGATTAGTTTATAATTTTATTAATTTTTTTTTTTGCTTTTTGATTGGTTTGACTTTTGTATGAGAAGCTTGATCAATGCCAAAAATTAATCGGCATGAAAGGAACAACGACGGACGCGGTTTCGGCGACGCCCGTCGTGCCTTCCCGCCGCCGTCGTCGCCGCCGCAGCCGATTTCCGAACATTTCCGATGAAACGAAATGGCGATAAAGTAGGTGAGCAAGACTAGGAAGCTGGTATATCCGGAGGGTTCACGTGACACCGATCTGTCCCCGCATCCGTTCTGGGTACAGTCCGTTGTATAGGTCATGAGGAGAGGCTCCGGGGATTGATAACGTAGAACCGTAAAAGCTCGTCAGCGAGCACGGCTTTTTCGGCTCGCAAATTTCGCGATTGATCCCGATCGATCTTTCCATCCCGATCTGATCCACGCTCATTAAGATATCGGAGTCAATAATCGCCAATCGGCAGAAAATTGAACAATGCGATCGAGTGCGATCACTCGACTCGTCGTCGCGGATCTGGCTTCCATGGTCCTCATGGTCTTTTCGGGCGCGCCACCCTCGCCCCCGTAAACGTAATATTTCGAAAAATGACAATACGTTTTGTGTGTCACGCGGCGTGATTGCTTGATGACATTAGGCACCGCAGAGGGGAGCATCCCAAATGACGGGAGGATGTGCGGGAAGTGGCGCGGGAACCACGCCGCTTACCATCTTGCTGCTCAGAATTTCACCGGGAATGAACGCCACGTGTCTGCGGCGATTTTTTTTCTTTGCTTTTTTTTTTTGAAAATCGTAATTCAAAAGTATATTTCTCAAAAGATGCATTTGAAAAAAAAAAAGAAGAACTAACTGAAGTGAGAGTTGGCAGGATTTCGTCCTAATGATCCGACCTTTTTAATTGGATGCGCAATCTTTCAGCGAAAAGCGCTTTCAGAATTTTCATATTTCAATGTTCTCCAATGTCGTGATTCTTCAAGGTCGCGGCATCATTGGCATCTAATCGAGCTTGAAAAAAGCTCGTTATATTTACGAAAAGAAACGAATAGAGAAAAGAGAAATATTAGCAGCAAAGCAGAGAGGATTTCGATTAAAGCGTTGTTGAACTTTGATTGAGTTTAATACACGACATTGATGCAAACGTATTTTTAATTGGAGGAGCAGTTTTCATCAATGTTGAACGATGCTGTTTTGATGTACGTCACGCGTACAAACTTACGTTTGTAATAAACGGAAACTATTCTTATTGATCTCGAGGACTCGAGATTATAGCTATTAATTGAAATTCGATAGATTTGTGCCACACATTCCCGGTTTTTAATATTTGAATCGATTTCTGATCAACATTTCCCTTGTAGAAATTTATATGTTTACATATGTACACAGAATTTTACATATACACGCGTGCGCGCGTGATGTGTAAAATTTTATATCCATATATAAATATATAAATTAGGTATTACAAAGCTGCGCGTTTTTTTTTATTTAATATAATAATATAATAAATATGTTATAAAAAAATTTGTAATATGTTTGAAAATTAATTGTTGTATTATTATAATCAAGTATCAGAATTAAAATTAATATTTTGAAAAATATATAAATATTTTTATATTAAAAACATTTTATATAATAAAATGCTTGATTTTAAATTATTAATTATTTTGATTTAAATTAATTAACGTCTACTTTGTATATAAATATAAATTAAATTGTAAAAAAATCAACTATTCTATATAAATTATTATTATATAATATTAAAGGACATAAAATTATTAAAATATAAATTGTTTTAAGATTAAACATTTTAAGATTTAAATTAGAATCTCTTAGATAAATAAGAAGGTTCGATTATTTAGCAAAATCTTATACAAACTCTTTTTCATTTTTAGATAAATAAACAATGAATTTTATATAAATCGTTTTTACTTATCTATATCACATATATAAATATCAAGAATAAAAATTATAAAATTAATATCTGATTGTAAGACGAAAAATATAAGTTTGTTTGTTTGAGCGAATTTAGAAAAAGAAAGATCGATTAAAAAATGAAAATTGACAATCGTACTGCAATGGAACTAGCTATGTACCGCGATACAAGATGGCGGTCGAGAAATGTTCGAGAAATTCCCTTTCGTGTTTGGACTTTCGTGTTTGAATACTCGATGCTTTGTGATCTCGTCGCGCGGAAGTTCGACGACTCTCTTGGCGTCTGAGTTTTCCTGTAAACAAATAATTCGGGAACAGGATTCGTTGACGAGGGAAACCTGAGAGGAACGTCACGTGGTAACAGAATCGTCCGATACACGACGACGTCGGACGCCGTTTGAGATGTTCGTTGATCGCCGGCATGAGCTGTCACCGTCGTAACGCGTCGAACCTGTGAGGTTATGATTACGACGAGGAACGTTTGCCGTCGAAGCGGCCGAAACGCCGTGATGACCGCAATTTTATACGTGTTGATATTGACGAATTTCTGCGTGGCCGCTAACGACGGTGCCGCCAATGCCGCCAAATGTCAATTTGGCAAGCCGATGCGCAAGCAGGTGCCAGCGGAGCCTCTGAACGGCGAGTGCCTGCGGGATCTCGTGGTACACCTGTCAAAAGTGTTACGAGTCATCGTCGACGACGAGCTCGGTGCTTCCTCATTTCAGGAGATGATCGACAAGATGGAATTTGTAAACGTCTCCAACAGTCTGGACGCGAAGCTGACCGTCTTAGTTGACAAATTTAACAATAAGTTGAGGTTGCACGTTGATGTCTTCAAGCAAGTCTATGAAGTTATACACCATATACTGATACAAGATCCACGTCCTGCCATTTATTCTAGTCAGATGGTTGATTATGACATGATGGAGCTGAATAAAATTTCAGATATATGCACTGATATTATGAAAGGTATTCTTTTATTCAATGATATCATTTTTGTGCTTTATTTGAATATATGTAACATTTGTTATTGTACATATATTATTATATGTTATTGGGCTTGATTATAGAACTTACAATGCAACTACGAGGTCAAGAATGGAAAAACATACATATACTGCCAATAAAAGAACCTTATACAATATGTGGACCACCTACGCTTGCTCACAATATCGGACCTCTTTTATTATCTCAATATTGTTCCAAGAAAAATGTCATTCTACTTTTGGAACATGGCACTTTCATGTCCGAATCAGATTTAGCTTTGGCTCAAATAACAGCCAAAACTATTATAGATATGCTTTCTGAAGCAGATAATGTTACTGTTGTGGGCCTTGCTAATACTGCTCCCTTACTTTGTAAAGATGGCTTATTAAAGGCAACAGATATCAATAAATTTCAATTAATTCGATATATTGACAGTTTAACTAGAACAGGTAATCAAAAATAAGTGTTTTACATTTTTTATTTTTGGATTTTTAATTCATAATATCATTTATTTGTCATCTCTATTTTAAGTTTTTATTGTTTTTTTGCTGTTCTATTTTATTTCTATTACTGAAGTATTTTCCATTTTCTTATATATGTATATTATATATGGAATGACAAAACTAGAATGAATCAATCGCGGATTTTTCATTTAATAAACGATTGCCATCACTAATCTATCTAGTTAAATGAACATATTATTTAATATATAAAATATGTATTAATTTTACATTTCTAATTTTTTCCAGATTTAAATGAGACAACAAAGATTGATTTTAGAAAATTAACACAAAATCTAAGGGATAAAGTGCTTATTATACATTTAACTAATAAACTACAGACTACATCAGAAGTACAAAGAATAGTTGAACTAATTTCGTGGGAGCTCAAGACTTACCTCAAAACTATTCTTATTACAGGTAAGTTAATTTTCATTTTATTTAATTAAATCATTTTATTTAATTATTTATTTATTACATTTTATTTAATTATATAAAAAAAATATTTTTATCGTGATTTATTTTCAGACCAACAACCATCCACAATTAAAAAATTAAGTAATGACAATGTCTTAATTCTTCCAACGCAAAACGTTCTTGGATATGAAATAGGAAAACTATTTTCTTGTTTACAATGTCCTGATCACTATAAGAAAGATTTTTATGTATCCGATCCGTATATTGAACCATATAGCAAAGCGATGACAATATCTATCGGGCAAATTACAAAAACTGCATTATTATCATTAGATATAAAACTGCGCGATTTTCTTGATGATATAACTTATTTTAACGCTGGTCCCAATGCATATGTTATATTTTTCGATAATAAAGGAGTAGTTTGGATGCATAAAAATTTTCCTCGGATTGAGATGATAATTGAGCAACCACTCAAAGTGCATTTGCAAGACATTGAAAATATAGATGATCAAATAGTAACAAAGATGATAAATGAGATTCAAGGAGTTGTAGATGTAAAAACAAAATTAGGTGAGCAGGTAAGGTATAATATATTTACAAACATATCTGAAGATATAATTGTGAAATATATTTCTTATTTTAACATATATACACAGAAGCAGTACAGATGGAGACACTTAATTTATGATGACTTGATAATATGTCTGGTATCAACAACTAACGAAGGAATATTACCTGTCGCAAGAATTGTGCCTCCATTACCGGCGAATATTTTACACCATCGCCTTGATCTTATGCTTCAAACTGTCATTGATAAAAATACGCTTTGCGTTTATAGAAACAAGATTGTAACTTTATGTAAGAGAATAAAATCTGTCACAGTTATTGTTTATAAAATGTATAAATATTGAAAGTCTTTTTGCCTTTTTTTTTTAGCAACGGGTGTAATCTATTTATCACCATGGTGCTTTCAATCTCCAATGGAACAACTAAAATTACTGGAAACGGGTTCGGCTGTAAATGTACAGGGCTATATGGCATATATAAAAGATGTAACAGGTCTTTTAGCTAATCCCGGTTTACATTCATCTGTAAAACCAGATGTAGCAACGTTAGCACAAGTTTTGGAACATTTCAAAAAGCAGCACGTCGAAAGTTCGTTAAATAAATTTATAATAAGAAGGTAATTACAAATAATTTTAATTTTACATGTAATTATTAATGATTTATAGAATATCTTATATTTCTATTTTAGATACATCGTCAGTACAGTCAGTGGTGTATTAGAAATATTTCCAGGAATGGTATTAGATTCTAGTTTTGATCCCAAAAGAAGAATGTGGTATGGGAAAGCACTGGAACAATCTGATAAGATCATTTTAACGTCGCCTTATTTGGATACAGGTGGATCAGGCTACGTAGTTACTCTGAGTCAGACTGTCAAATACTCTATGAGAGCTAATGGAAATACAGATTATGCCATTGCTGTTCTGTCTATGGATGTTACAATGAGTTATATTATGAGACTGTTATTGGAAATGTTTCCGTTTTGCCATGATGCTACTATAAAGTGTTTCTTGATGGACGATAAAGGCTACTTGGTGTCACATCCTAAGTTGTTGGAGGCAACAGGCAAGATCGAGCAGCAACATTTAACACATAAGGAACTCTTAGTAGCTAACGACATATTGAATCATGGATTGTTTGCGAAAAAGAAATTATGTGCCAACTATTTAGATGGTACTGTGCAAAGATACTATCAATTTAATACGTCGCTCGATGATGTACTCACTAATATAGCACACGGCGAACATTGTGTTAGATATCAGGTAGCTGCTGTACCAGGAACTAACGTGTTCCTTGGCGTTGTCAATGTGACGACTCAATGTAATATGCTCAGAGCTTTTTGTCCTTGTAGTACGGTAAGCTTACTTATTTTTATCGTAATTTTTCTTCTATTTTAAAATGTTTTTATGTTTATTACTATAATGTTTTGTATTTTTTTCTTAAATGTAGATGGATCATTCGTGCCTGAATTGCAAAAGTATGGAACAAACTAGCTGTGAATGCCCCTGCGAATGCTCCTTGTATTCCTCTAGCTGTACGCAACAAAATATCGACAATCTAGATTCTTGTCCGCCTATATATGAGCACGGATCGAGTTTACAAACTTCGTGGATAGAGCCTACTAATTTGAAATCATGTCCATCCATCGATTGCAAATCATACACGACGGAAAAAGACTGCTTGGGTATTGCGGATTGTCAGTGGTGTCATGTTGATACCGATGGCGAGACTCCTTTGCAAAGGCCGTTTTGTTCCGATATGGCCATATGTTTCAAAGGAATCTTCGGATCTTTAATACCTTATAGTGACGGTAGTTATAGTAAGTTTGTCTTCTTTTTTCACGTCTCTGTTTATTTCCATTAATCATTAGATAACAAATTACTTTTTTCAGATTCGCAATCAACAGATGAAATCACGGTGCGAGAGTGGTCATCAGTCGGGCCAGTGGCCGGTGGAATTCTTGCGCTGTTCCTGATTGTAGGCATTATCCTATTTTGCTACAGACTTCGATCGGTACACTCGGGCTTAGAGCATCAGTGTTTACATCTTCATACGTCGCCCGATACATTGCGTATGACGCACATCGAGGGCGATCCGGAACCCGCAGAATTGGATCAGATCAAAAATAATTTAGATTGTCTTGTTAGAGACAATGTCGCACCTATATCACCATACAGAGTTTCTACCAACTATCGAAGACCACCTGGTGGCGATAGCGATCATGGGTACAGTACAATGACACCTCACGACGATTCCGAGCAACAGACATTCGCCTCCGAACCTCTGTTAGCCGTCGATAATAGCGTCGAATCGGATTTAACCAAGCAATCCGATATCGGAGTGCCTTCTCCTACGACTTATTTGGGTTCACCACATCATGTTTTAGCGCCTGTGACAGTTCATCGCGATATGGAAACGAATTACTGTTAACGAAAACTGAATTCACTGCCATTTATTTACAAAGGTAAGACAAACGTAATTTACTCGATATTATCGTAAGAAATTGTTATATCACGATTTATATTCATCTCTTCGTGAATATGATCTCGGGATATAAGAATTGAACGTATAATATCATTCAATATACATAGCGACTTATCTTATTTATGCTTCTCGAAAGAGATATTATTGGATTATTTTACTGCGAGACTGTTCATATTATTTCCATTATTATCAAATGTTAAAAGGTATAGATCTTTGAATGATTGATACTTGAAAACATATATAACTTTGAAGTGTCAATACTAATGCCTTTCACATAAGTGCTAAAAATGATTATAATAGTATAATAGAATATTAAATCTTCTTAAAAATCTTAAAAATGGTTGTGTCAATTTTACATATGGAATAATTCAAATGGCTGCTATGTTGCAAGCTATGAGTAAGAGACTTAAAGTATGTTTTTATAAATAGATTTATAAAGATAGTTTTTATAAACAGTAATGAATTATCTATATTATTCTGATTACTAATTCTGATTACGAGCAATTTAGAAATATAAAAATATTTTATACAAATAATATCGCAGTTTGCCAATAATATCTTTATATTATTATATCTTTATGTATCAAAGTTAGCAAGATACTAAAATATAAATATAATTAATATTTGGATAGGTGCTATATATTTGTATAAATTATATAGAATGTAGGACATAATATAGATGATATTCACTTCAAGAAAGAATTTATATTTCAAAGCAATGAAAGTATTATGTTATATCTTGTATGTAAATTTAGAAAATCTGAATTTTATTGTTATTATTAAGTATAGAGGAAGTACAGAAAACCAACGATAATATTGATGATTATATAATGGCAACTTTGTGTTTGGACAAGTGAATTTTAGTTGATATCGTTTGACATACTGCCATCACATTCCGTGATCGATATGGTTGAAATTGCAAGTAATAATTAATATTACTTATAAGAAACAAAAACGATTTTTGTTTTTTATTTTTTTTTCTTTTTGTATAAGACTGTCGACGATTTATATATTTTATATCTCCATGACTTATTCCTAAAAACATCAATTTTTTTATGAATGTATGCTGTACTTATCATAATATACACAAACGAGTGCCAAAATGATAAAAACTTGTGCAAAATAATTTTTAAAAACTGTATATAGTATCTATAGTACTATTTTTATTGTTATTTTTCTATTATAATCTTTTCTTCTTATTTTTAGTATATTTAAATATTTCTTTTAAAACGAGATATTATAATTTTATCGATATACAAATCATCGCAAAAAAACTATCGAAACAAGACTAAGAAAAATTTAGAATAATATATCAACAAGAAAATATGTAAATTACAATTGTCCTTATTGATACATGATTATCAACAAAACACAAATGTAATTTTTAGATATCTTTTAAAAACATTCAGGTATTTTTATATAGAAATATATTAAGAATAAACTAAGCAGGATAAAAACAAAAAGTTACATTAATATAATAGTTATATAATATAATAATTTTTTTTACGAAAATATTAAAATTTTATGATTAAAGCATTTTATTGACAAAATACGATACACTTTCGTTTATACGCATTTTGGCGCGCGCGCGCAATACGTATATTTTAACAAATTAACATGATCATAGGCTTTTCTATGGTTCTTAATTAAAAAAGATACCGAAAAAAATAGAAAATGTTAAGATGTAATTTGTACCAGATCTGCACAACTAGTTGATTCAGGCAGCAAGTCAGACATAGTGACTAAATAAATATTTTAACATTCACTGCTACACGTATCGTCGATAGTATACGACGCTTTTAAAGAAAAACCGTGCCTACTAGCAACAGTTCAGTTTGTCTCGTATTTAGCGAGTTGTGCAGGTCTGATTTATTACGACAATTGTATGAAATGTGCTTATATCATCGTGATTGGTACTTACAAAGCTAATGTCCGTCAATATATTATTATTAAGAATACAGTTGTAAAATACCGTTTTTTATATTGATCTTTTTTTATTGACATGTACTACGTACAAAGATACGTGCCGAGCGAGATTTTATACATTATATCAGTATTTTTTTTACTATTAAAGAGTCTGCATTTTACTATTAAATAAGGAGTATATCATTGCCTTGTATTTTTTCCTATGTAATGCAATGAAAAACACCGTGAATATCAATCCTGTAGAGAGGGACATAAATGGAGGATGTCGTGTCCATTTCGCATATGTAAAATGAATGAGATACTTTTATTATATTATTTTGCCTTATAAGTAATTCAATACAAGGTACATCGACAAAATACGATACGACTAAGGTATAAAGTCTGGATTCTTTCTTAAAATTACAAAACCTTCCATGATCGGCGTCAATGGTACGTACTCCTCGGTAGCGAGTTCTGCTCTTTCACCGTACGCCAACAATACGGGGGTGGTATGCGTTTGGAAGCCCGTGATGGTTTTAGGTTTGCCCGCTTGGCCAACGACATCAACGGCAAGTCCGACTCTCACTGGCACAGCCAATGGATTCAAATCCTCATCGAATGTCACTAACATTCTGGGTTGCATCGCAGCAGCCAGTGTGTATAAAAGATAGTGTGAACGTCCGAGGATAACTAGAAGAATGATAACATTGTCATAATTGATATTATAGAAATTTTTTTTTGTATTGGATCTGAAGAACTGACACAGTAAGAATATTAGAGTAATTATAGATCCCTACATCAATTATTTAAGAGACTTATGATAGCAATAAGAGTCTTTAGTAATAGAAATGATTCATCCACTTGCAAATAGATTGAAAATCAAAATCTAAATAACGAGAAATATTTATATTTTTATATCGCGCGAAAAATGTATACTCACTGTTTTTTACATCCAAGAAGCCAATAAGTGTCGACAGGAGACCGGCTAGAGCAACGGGACTGAGCAGTTGCCTATCGCTATGATAGGGCGATAGAGTGAGCGTACCTTTACCCAAATGTGTTAAGCCTTGCGCAATGCGCACCATGAAGAGATTGTTCGGGTCTTTTGCGTGGAATTGAGCCAACTGCCTCAACATGGCAGCTAATCGTGCATTATTTGTACCGGCACCGACTAGACCCATGGCGAATATCGCATTATGTGCTACCTCAGGATCGCTATCGTGCGAAAATTTGGACAATGTGTCCAGGATATTCAATTTCGGATTCGACACCGAAATTAAGCCAAGGGCGAGTGGTACCGACCGGCGAATCACAGGCTCACAATAACGTAGAAGGTGACCAAAGGTCCTGTAAGCCATCTCGGCGCCAATCTCCTCTCCCATGGCGATCAGAGCGATGCCAAGAACGGCAATAGCCTGCCTAGAGCTGAGATCCTTCTCTTTCTCCTCTTTTTTCTCTTCTTTTTTATCCTTGTCTTTACGTTCGCTCTTTTCCTCCTTCTCATTGCTCGGTTCATAGTGCTCCGAGCAGATATGCAATAAATGTTGAATCTTGAGGACATTTCCCGTTCCGGCGTATGCGCATACCTCTACCAATGTCGTTGACATCGACTTAAATGGTTCGTGTACAATCTCCAAGGCCGCTATAATCGCTTCTGCTGCTTCCTGCTTACCCAGAAAACACAATCCTAATCCGAGCGCCAAGAATCGTGCGTATGTGTCTTTAAGATCAGACTCCGACTTATCCATCAACGTGTGCATAATTGCCGTGGTGACGTAAGCATTGCAGGAACCGGCGGCGACCATTCCCAATGCCAAACCAGTCATACCCAATACTTCCCAGCTTGACTTGGGGTCACTGAGAACCGGCGTCAGTAGACCCAGTACACCTTCCCTATTGGAACCGGCATATGCAATACCGAGGCCGACAATGGCGCCAATGCGCATAGTGTTACTGCTGTGTAACACATAGTCGGAGAGCAGAGCCAATGCAGGATCGCATTCGTTTCTCACGCCGCAATTGACAATTCCGCAAGCCAGCAAAGCACCTGATTTGATGTAATCTTCTGATGAATAAAGATATTTATCAATTGGTGTTAAACCACCGTCGACGTCCCACAGTAGAATCAAACCAAGCGATGCGGTCGCACTCAACATGCCGTGCTCCTTGTTCTTGTACAGCCATTTATTACCGTCTTCAATCAGCAGTTTGTCATGGCCGAATGCAGCGTTGACAAAGCCGTTAACAAAGCTTGCCGCTAGATTCTGGCGCGCTGAATCAACCTGGCCGCCGCCAAATGGCGGTCGCGAGTTCTCCAGATGAGATTTATAAACGTCCTCAGGTGTCTTCGGCTCCATTATGTCCAACTCACGCGCCAAATTCAGAAAGTGATTATTCAAATGAGAATTGGACATTATTTCGAATAAATCATCATCCTCTATCGTAGTTTCGTGTAGTTCCAAGAAGATTTGTTGGCGACCTAGCATAAATGCAAGTTGCTTTTGCACAGAGCTGAAAAGCATACGTAAATATTTAATTTTCTGTTTGAAAAATATAAAATCACTTGTAGAATGTTCATAATAAAAAGAAACTAAAGATAAATTATTAAATGAATAAAAGATTAAGAGATTACTCACAGATCTCGACAGTTTGTGAAAATCGATTCAATGAGTGGTAAATCATTCAGCTGCATCGCCAGTCTAATCGCTTGTGGATACTGTCCAAATCTTCGGTATAATTTGCAAGCAACATGAAGGAGAGTGCTATTTTCCGGATCGGCTACATATGATACGCAGCTCGTAAGATAGAGACATACTCGCTGATATGCGCTTTCATCGACATATTGGTCTAACAAATCCAGTCTTTCAATTTCCATTAATAGGTCGCATGCCTCTGTTTCGGCATTGTGTGACATGTTATAAGGAACAATTTCATGTACAAGGGCAATTAGTTTCTCGCTCGTTGCTTCAACATTATCACCCGTGACTTCGTCCCATTCCCCAGCCAGTTCTCCAGACAAATGTCTAACATATTCGTGTCCCCATTCACCAATTGCTAGTGCCGAGCCAGTGAGCCTATATTTCAAGCATTCCCGACCTTCGCCCATAGTCATTGCCAATACCGAAATGATATCCGAACATAATTCCTTACATTTGATATTAGTCATTTTTTCATGTATGTTTTTCATAGTATCATAGTGAGGTCGCATAAATTTCAATGGCTTTGGCACACTAGTCATTGACGTTGTTGACGCACGAATATGTGAACGTAATGATTCCAAGGCAGGATAATGCAATTTGGTGTTGGCATCCTGCAGGCGCTCCACAAGCAAGGTTAACTCCTCCTGCAGAAGTTTATCTTCTTCTGACTGAAAGACAAAGCAAACTTTTTATATATACACATATATACATAGTACAAACATGACTTCTCTTGGAGATTATGTCAGAATACTATCATTCAAAAATAAGAAATTAATAAAAGAATAAAGGAAATTATAAGAGCAAGTAATATCTCATAGTTACAACATAAGAAATAACTTTAAGATAAATTACAAGAAAAGTACGCGAATCAATGGTTTACTAACGCAGGAATTTCAATTTGTTGTTTAATCAAAATTAGAATGTTCCTCTTCGAGAAAAACGCATTAATCAATCTAATTCTTGTGCAGGTTAATTTCTTACCAATTCACTTTTATCATCTTCCTTGCCGTTCTTCACTTCTTTAACTGGTTTCGCTTCCGTTTTCGTGCTCTCCGGCATTTTATTCACTTATTTTATAAACAGATACACAAAGCAAATACTCGATTTCTTCTCCGATCGACCACAAATTTAAGGTTAGAACGGGCATTCAAGAGGTTTTGCGAGTCACCATCATGGACACGCAACATAGAACGGCAACTGTGTATTAATTTAGCCTTTTAATACTGGTTTACATGAAAAAGCAGTTCGGGGCATCAGGCGTCAGGTCGCACGATGTAAGCAAGGCTTGTGCTGCTACTGAACAGTATTCGTCAGCCTTCGTCGATCATCGTCGATTTCCGTCATTGTTCGTTACAGGGAGTGTCTGGCGATGTAGCGTCGCCGTGTTTGTGATTTAATGTTCACGCTTCTATTTAATGAAATATTTTTTTTATTTTGTCTCGTTTTGTCTCGAGAACTCTATTCACCGTATGAAATCTCATACGGCTAAGTGAACAATACCAATACCATTTCGATATTTGTATAGCGGTGAACGTTCGCGGAACGAGACGGCACAGGTTAACAAATTGGTCATTCACAGGGAGTGTCTCCCAATAATTAGCCTAATAGTTCCGCTATATTTTTCACCAATCTTGTAATATTCCAATCAATATTCGATCGAGATTAACAATAATGTTCTAATCTCGTGGAATTTGTAAGATGTTTATTGTATAGCTATAAAATGTATGAAATGTCACGTTTATTGACTACCGCAGTGTTCTCGCTAGTCCTTTTGCTTCCCACACTCGCACAAAATGTTTTGTACGGGGAACAAATATACGAGTGTCCTCAACACTGGATGCGATTCCAAGACTCATGTTATCGTTTTATTAAGAGCCCATTGAGAGTACGGGAAGATGCGCGCAGAAATTGTCAAGCATTCCAAAGTGACCTACTCACCATCAATACAATAGAGGAGCATGGATTTGTGCTCTATCAATTATTGTGGCAAGATCCGCAGCATCGCAGGTGGTATACCGGAGTGAAACTCCAAAGTGGCCTATGGATAAATGAAGCTGACAGTACAACGTTGATAAATATGGATAACGCCTTTCTACCTGAGCCTAATGACAATGTGCCTGGAAGAGACTATTTGGCATATGCTTATTCCAATAATCTCCAACGTTGGGGATTAGAAAAAGTCACTGGTAAAGAAGAGTTATTGTATATTTGCGAAGCACCTATTGCCACTCTTCACAATTTGGTAGATGACGATCGTACTTATCAGTATGGAGTCGATATTGATAATCCTCTTCAAATACCTAGAGGACCATATTTCATAAAGCAGCCTAAAGACAAAGTATTCGATGTATCAAAGAGAAAAATAAACAATGATGTTTCACTAAGCTGTTTGGCAGGAGGTTATCCTACTCCTACTTATGAATGGTTCAAAGAGGATTATGAAAATGATCGATTAGTTGCAAGAAAAATTGATCCACTTTTAAATATCAGGTATACTGTAAGTGGCGGAACATTGATCATTTATGAGCCTGAACAGGTAATGATCTTTAGTCTCGTTAAATATTTGTTGTTATTTTTAGAAATTTATATTATAAAGTATGTTAATATATATTTTAATAAATAATTTTAATATTAATGGTTTTACTATTTGTAGACAGAAGATCGTGGCTCGTATCATTGCAAAGCAACTAACAAATTTGGTACGATTATTTCTGAAAGTGTTGAATTGTCATTTGGATACATCTTAGAATTCAATTTGAAACGTTCCGAGGAACGTGGAGACAATCATTGGGGCAAAGCAGTTTATTGCGATCCACCGCAACATTTCCCAGGTGTTAAGTACTATTGGGCGCGTGATTATTTTCCTAATTTTGTTGAGGAGGATAAACGTGTATTTGTCTCATATGATGGAGCGCTTTACTTTTCCGCGTTGGAAACGATTGACCGAGGAAACTATTCGTGCAATGTTCAGAGCGTCGCATCCGATACTGGACGCAACGGGCCATTCTTCCCATTGAGAGTGGACATGCACTGTAATAATTCTGAATTATCCTTTAAGGACATAATAACATAATAGAAAGTGAAATAATGAACTTAATAATTTTCTAAATTTTTTCAGCCTCTTTCCAACAGTTAAAGTTCCCTAATAATTTTCCAAAGGCATTTCCGGAAGCACCAGTAGCTGGGGAAGAAGTTAGATTGGAATGCATTGCATTTGGATAGTAAGTTTGTTCACGACATTTTATGATGTTTGCTTTTATACGTAAAGATATATACATAGATCTTATTATAATGAATAATTGATTTTCATAGCCCTGTTCCTTCATATAATTGGACGAGAATGGGTAGTGTCTTGCCGCGTAACGCATATACTACGAATTATAATCGCGTATTGATAATACCCCACGTACGCGTGGAGGATCAAGGTGAATATGTTTGCCGAGTGCATAATGATAGATTGTCCATCAAGAACTCGGTGCGACTGACTATACAGGCAGCACCTAATTTCACCATCCCATTGGTCGACAAGCACATGGACAATCGGGCGGATCTGACTTGGACCTGCGAAGCGTTCGGTATACCGGACGTCACCTACAGTTGGTTTAGAAACGGAGAACTCTTAGACATGTATACTCTACCGCCTGAAGATAGAGATCGTTATACTATACAAGATAACGTGCTAAATATACGATATTTGGATCCTGAAAGAGATCAGGCTATGTATCAATGTCGCGCAAAAAATCAACTGAAGACAACGTATTCGTCGGCTCAACTTAGAGTCTTGTGTAAGAATTTATATCTTCTAAAATGCAATTATGCAAATATGTAATTTAACGTGCAATAATGATGAAAATCATGTCATTGTGTAAAGCATTGTTATATAATGCTTGTTTGATGTTTTAGCGTTGAAACCTTCCTTCAAGAAACGCCCTATGGAATCCGAGACTTATGCGGCAGAAGGACGTAACGTTACGATTGTGTGTAAACCCGAAGCAGCGCCCAGACCGAAATTCGTTTGGAAGAAAGATGGGAACGTAATTGGATCAGGCGGTAGACGAAGAATTATGGAAACTGGAAACCTCATCATTAGTCCAGTATCGCGAGACGATGAGGGAACGTACGTGTGCACAGCGACGAATCAATACGGCAGCGACGAAACCCGTGGACGATTGATTGTACTACGTAAGTTGAATTTGATAATCTAAGAAATCCAGTTCAGGATCTGACTTTACACGAAAAAATTTACGTAAAAATATTAACAGGATATGTTAAATTATATATCAATTATCACAAATATTTGACATTTGTTATTTGTGCATTATAATAAAGATTTCGAGTTTCTATATGAATAAAAATTGATTGGATTAACGACTGATTATATATAATTATTTATACAGGTGGACCACAATTTATTGAAAGATTACCACCACAAATACTCCTGAACTATAATTATAATCTGACATTACGCTGTTTGGCTCAAATAGATGAAATGTTGGATATAGCATATATTTGGACGCACAATGGAATGCGTATCCGTGATAAAGACTTGCGGAATAATCCGCGATTGCAGATTAATGGCGAATATTTGGACATTATAAACACTACGTTTGCTGAAGCTGGTGACTACGAATGTATCTTGAAAAGTGCTGTTGGTGAAATATCGAGCAAGGTTAATCTGATCGTGCAGGGGCCACCGGGACCTCCTGGTGGAATACAGGTTGTAAATATTGTGAAAACATCACCCACATTACGGTGGACTGATGGCGCTTTGAACGGTAGACCGATAACTATGTACACAGTTAGCGCGCGAACCAATTGGAATCGTACATGGATTCCTCTCGCAGAAAGTAAGTTTGATATTTGATAATCATGATCTCTTATAAAAAATTATTTTGCAATAATTTATTAATTATACCTTGATATTTATATATATTTGTGATTTCAAATTAAATGTTTAGAAAGAAAGGGAGAGACTCCTTTATATATCTGTTTTCTTTGCGTAGTCTTTATGTAAATATGGTATATATGGATTATTTTTAGATATTACAGCCTATGAGATGGACAGATATAATGGGCGAAAAGAAGTGCATTTGGAGAATGTGTTGAATCCTTATTCTACATATGAGTTTCGTGTGTCGGCCTTTAATGAATTTGGTTACGGCCCGCCATCAACTCCCTCACCTCAATACAGTACTTCAGCCGATAGACCTACGAAAGCACCATCGAATATCAGTGGTGGTGGAGGAAAAATAGGAGATCTCACGATTACATGGGATCCTCTTAGCCCTTCGGATCAGAACGGTCCTGGACTCTATTACAAAATATTCTGGCGTCGCAAAGGACATGACACAGAATATCAATCACAATCTCTGAAGGAATATGGCAACGTCGGCAGCAGTGTTGTACCGATACAAACGAAATATTATTACACGGAATACGAAGTAAGAGTACAGGCAATTAATGCGATAGGCGAGGGTCCTATATCCGAAATTAAGACTGTATACAGCGCGGAAGACATGCCACAAGTTGCGCCGCAACAAGTATTCGCTATGAGTTACAATAGTACCAGTTTGAATGTCAGCTGGTTGCCGATTGAGCAGACTCGCGAACGGGTGCGAGGCAAGTTAATCGGCCACAGGATTAAGTACTGGAAGGAGAGCATTCGCGAAGAAGATGCTACTTATTATTTATCGCGCACTACTCGTCCTTGGTCATTAGTTGTTGGATTGCAGCCAGATACTTATTATTATGTGAAGGTAAAATTAAAAAGAAATATAGTCTTTTGTTTACATTTCTATTTAAATCTATATCTACTAAAAATGTACTTAAATCCAACTGCAAATCAATTATTTGATATTTTTATTACATGTAATATTAATTATTAATATTAATTATTACATGTAAAATTAATTATTTAATAAATATATAAATAGAAAGATACTTGAAATATATTAGTAAACTGTTGAATGAAAAATTTAAGTAAAGTTCACAAATTTTTTAAAGGTAATGGCCTATAATTCCGCCGGTGAAGGTCCAGAAAGTGAGCGGTATTTAGAGCGCACTTACCGCAAAGCACCACAGAAACCACCGTCTTCAGTCAATGTCTATGGTGTAAATCCGTCGACAGTAAGAGTCGTCTGGCGATATGTACAGCCGAGTCTGGAGGAAGAACCGCTAATCGGATACAAAATACGTATATGGGAGGTCGATCAAGATATGAGTACGGCAAATGATACAATTATACCAGGCGGTTCCAAGTTAGAGGCCGATATCAAGAACTTGAGTCCAGGCAAGGCGTATCATCTGCGAGTGCTCGCATTCAGCAATGGCGGCGACGGCCGAATGTCCAGTCCGACTCATACATTCCAGATGGGCGATGCCGCAGCCTTCAGGAGCAGCGCCGGAAACAGAATCTTAGATGCCGCTCTGGGAATAATATTCTTGTTATATTTATGGAATTTTGACTATATATAGTGTAAATACTTATAATAACTGTAGGTTAGTTTGATTAATGGCCATAAATTTTAAACGAATTTCTTTTAAACAGAAAAACTAAAAAGTTTAACAAAATTCAAAACAGATTTTAATATAAGATTTAACAAAATTCTTCTTATCCAATTAAATAATTTTACAATCTGTCGATCTAATCTTTGGTTAATCAAAAATTAATATTGCTACATTACTAATATTGTTTAACGATATAGCCGCTTCTTTTAACAATGATGATTCAGCGCTAAGTACTTCCGCAACTATTTTTTAAGAAGAATAGAACGGTACTATGAGTCTATGAAGAGACTGAATTAAAGTCGATCTACATTTGATCCAAATATCGTGCGAAAAATAATATGTGGTGAGTTCAATTTTTATTCTACATAATAAAAAAATACTTGGTCTATACATATATATGGTATATACGTTTGGTATATACGTATATACGCTTGGTATATACGTTTTTCGGCACATGTACTAACAATGCTTTAAAGTTCACGGACAATATATTATTTTTATTATATATAGTTATATATATATATACACATATTTTATATATATATATATATATATATATATATATATACTCTTTTTTATTCTCGTTCTTGTAACACATGTCAATCATAAAATAGTATAATTTCAAACGTTATATCATGTTCTTTGTTTGAAAAATGGCCAGGTCTTTACTTCATAAACTTTAGAATAATATTCTACCTCATTCCACAATATATTTTCGAGAGCAAAGTAATTTGGAATATATCACATACACGTTGAATAATATATAAAGATGATTTAAAAATACAGAGTTTTGCATCTAGATTTTACACAAATGGTTATTAAATCAACAGTTCATGAAAAATATATGTGAACAAATTCACATTACGATGTACAAAGTTGTACTATATATAAGACAATTTCGTCTATTTGTTGAAAACAAAGAACACAATTCATAATAAATATTTATGCTATGCTATTATGATATTAATAAACACTATTTAACATAAGATAACGAGAATATGTGCATTTATAACATATGAATACTATTTGATCTGATGCAAGATAGAAGATTGTAAGAATAAAAAAACGCGCAACGTATGAGGATTACTCGTAAAAATATATATTTAGTATTAAAAGCTATATTAATGCGCTAAACTTTACTAATAACGATTAAGAATTAATAATACCTAATAATAAATAAGAATTATATAATATCTCGTTGTAAAAAGCAGCGTAATTTTCCGTCCAGAAGTAGATTATGAATACTCGGCTAATTTTGACAATACTATGACTGTTTGTTAATCATTGAATTACTCTAATACTGTTAGTTACGTAAATATTTTAATTTAATTATAAATATTTATCGATATTGTCGATATAACTTAAGAAAATTTATATATTGCATATATTATTTAATAATTTTCTAATAAATTTATATACAAAAATCTTTTTTGATTGAAAAAATATGACAGTATTAGAATATTTCAAAGACACTATATGAGAAAAATTTTTATATTATAAACCATAACAGTGTTCACCGAGTGTATATTCTACAAAGTATATAATATTATAAATAACATATTATTTAGCTACACATTTAAGGAACGAATACGTTTACATTTTAATATTTCTTTTTATATTAGTGCATGATGAGATTTCATTAATGTATTCATTATTTATATTGTGTTTAAATAATAATAGTTTATACACAGTGCATAGTTTACACACAATACAAATAATGACGAATCAGAAAATGATGAGCTCATTTTAATTATTTGCTATTGGAAATATCACCGATATTGCCTGCTTAATTAAAAGCAGTAAAGCAATAGCAATATCACAATAGCAATATCAATTTCTCCAATTTTATATTATCTTTTTTATTCTATTGTATCGTAGAAACATATATATTATACACACACACATACACACATATATATATATATATACATATACCAAATAATATATAAATTTTTTACAATTGTAACATCGTTTTGTATCTGTTCTTTATCTTTATCTTTTCTAATAGTCCTAATACTTCTATATATTTTCAATTTTATTTTCTTTTAATTTTCGAGCAACCGGGGCCTTATTGATGAACATAAAAATTTATAATATATCATCATAATCTTTAATTAATAGGCTTGTTCTTTTCATTTAAACTTGCACTTTTCACTTTTTCTTTTTTTCTCTTTATAGACTTTTTTTTTTCTTTATATATATATTAGAGAGAAAAAGAAGAAAAAGGAATTGTGCAAGAAGTTTAACTGAAAGGAATAGATCTAATATCTCATCAATGATTATGCTAAAGAGAAAAAAAAAAATATCTTTTCAAACCGTTTATGTTGTCCTCTCTAGGTCACGTGGTCACATTACGCGTTTCCCCCTTTTTTTTCAAGCTCTCGAACGCGTGGTCACGCGTGACGGATAAGTTCAACCGATAGCCGGTGATTATCTCATCAAAGTATTAGGAATGAGATAGCAATATCGAGCGACGCTCAGCCGCGAAGGGAGATTAGTCGCCTAAATTGCCGACACCATCATTCGGTCATCATTTGTGAAAACGAGGCAAAGTCTTTTTTTTCTCATTCGGTGTTAAAATCTCTTACGAGGTTAACCATGCTGCGAGTCCTAGGTCGTTCGATGCTTCCTGTGCAGCTTTTCGGGAAGGCCACGGAGATTGTTCGCGTATCTAGCGTGAGATACTTGAATTTACTGGAGTACCAGAGCAAAGAGCTCCTGCGGGATTCCGGTGTGTCGGTGCAAAACTTCGCCATCGTCGACGACCCAACCAAGACGAGTTCCGCCTTGGAGAAGCTACGTAAGTACCTCAGAGTGTTTCTAGCCGCTTTTTCGACGCGTATTTGTATATTGGGAAAGGGCCATGTATAATATAACGATTTATCATGCTTTTCTGAGAAATATATTGTGTATATCAAGCATATCCACGTGTATCAATATGTTAGCATCCATTCAATTCACATAAGAGCTGACATAACTGTGTCGATACATATTTTATAGTTTTCTGTGTCTTCTTACAGATACCGATGAATTTGTGATTAAAGCTCAAGTCTTAGCTGGCGGTCGTGGGAAAGGATGGTTTGATAACGGATTCAAAGGAGGTGTGCATCTCACTAAAGAGTGAGTATTAATATAATTTAATTTTTTATAAAAATACTTAATATATCTTTCAAATAGTTAGAACATTTTATTTTATAAATGAGTGCTTATTATAATTTATTTTTCTAATAATGAAGTATTTGGTTGTCCTTGGATGATAATATATAAAGTTAAATGTTAAAAAATAATAACATTTTTTAATTCTTTTTCATATGTTTAAATAATTTTGTTTTAGAACTTAGTTTGTTTTTTTCTTTTTTTTTAATTAGTCGTAATGCTGTTGCAAATTATGTGAAGAATATGTTAGGTCATCGACTCATTACTAAACAGACCTCAAAGGATGGTATATTGGTGCAGAAAATCATGATAGCCGAGTCAGTAGATATTGCACGAGAAACTTATGTTTGTATTCTCATGGATCGTCAATATAACGGCCCGGTACTGATAGCGTCTCCAGCGGGTGGAATGGACATCGAGGCAGTTGCAGAAAAACACCCCGAACAAATCAAAACCGTTCCATTGGACATTTATCATGGGATTGATGATGAAATAGCGAAAGATGTATGCATTTTTCTGGGATTCTCTGATACAGATATTCTTGATAAAGCTATATACGAATTAAAAAACCTATGGAAGTTGTTTGTGGATATCGATGCCCTGCAAGTTGAAATAAATCCACTGGTGGAAACGACGGACAAACAAGTAGTTGCAGTAGATGCAAAAATCGCATTTGATGACAATGCTCAATTTAGACAGCAAGATTTATTTGCCTTGGAAGATGTTAGCGAGAAAGATCCCAGGGAAGTGGATGCATCGCGATTTAATTTGAATTATATTGGTATGGATGGTAACATAGGATGTTTAGGTAAATTACATCTCATTGTTATTTTAACAATTTTAAGTAAATCAAATATATAAACAAATAATGAAGAGAATTATAAAATAATGATACTAATTATAATTTACAATTTATGAGCATTAATATCTATATAATGATCAATTAATGTAAATATATAAGAATATGTCATTGTATTTATTTACATAGTAAACGGAGCTGGTCTAGCTATGGCTACAATGGATATCATTAAATTAAATGGAGGATCGCCAGCTAATTTTTTGGATGTTGGCGGTAATGTGAAAGAGGATCAAGTTTTCCAGGCATTTAGAATCCTCAGTGAAGGTACCTATATACACAGAAGGATTTAAATACAAATATGAAACGTAAACGAATTTCTTTTCTTTTTTTTAGATCCAAAAGTCAATGTCATTCTTGTTAATGTTTTCGGAGGTATTGTAAATTGCGCTACAATAGCAAAAGGAATTATTGCAGCGTCGCGAAATTTAGGACTTAAAATACCGCTTGTTGTAAGATTAGAAGGTTAGATATAACAATTTTCTTTTTTTATTAACTTAATTCTCTTATTATTTTTATCATTTCTAAATTTTATAATTATAGTATATCCGTTTCTATTTATGTTTTTTTAACACATTTCATGTCATATGAATCATTTACAGCCCACAATCAACTTTCCATTCTGACTATGAACGATTTTCATTATTAAAAATTCTATAATTACCAAATATTTTTTGGTATTTACATTTTTGCAAAACATGAATTACATCATGACTTGTACACTACAAATGTTAACAAATACATATTCTACTACATGGATCTTCAATGCATGTGGCTTGAATGGAAAGTCACGTGAATATATGCAATGAACTGTTAATACAATTTGTATAAATAAATTTTAGATATTTTAATAATTATTAATTTATTTTTTAGGTAATAATGTGGCAGAAGCCAAAAAAATTTTATCTGAATCTGGATTACCTATTCTCATAGCAAATAATTTGGATGAGGCGGCAAAAAAAGCGGTAATCTCTGTAAAAGCATAATCAATATGACAGTACACTGTTCATATCTATCTAAGACTGGCAACTTTGGTTTATATAAGGAAACGATAACTTCACGCCAACAACTTAGGGTAGGAAACTCTATACAATTTTTTCAAGATAGAATGCGAATATCCTTATCGATTGTTTACATAGTATTTAGTTTTCACATATTCATCTATATGCTCAAGCATTTAAAATGCTACATATTGTTGTTGTTGAATCTTATTGTTGCAACCTGCGATTTGATTATCCATAGTGACATATATTCCGATCTCGCATTTATTAACATATTGGATTAATCATGAATATTGCAAATAACTTTCTCTGTTATTGTAATAAAATAAGATTATGTCGTTACTAGAATTTTGAAAAAAAAATCATCTCAATTCTGCGAAGTTGGAATGTATATCATGGTTCTTCGTTTTATTTGTGGTATTTATATCATTGAGTAAGATATTTGAGATATCATTATCAATCTAGGTATACGAATTCAAGACTAATATTGGATGCAGATGTCGGTTTCTAATTTAGTCTTGTGAGTTGCTCCACATTTATTTTAGTTAATTTCAAACGACGAATTATGTAGATGGATATTTGTTTGTTTATTAATGTTATTTGATTATAATGTGATTAATTTATTATGATTTGTTTTTGCGACCGACTATTAAATAATGAACAAACAAATATTATTCCGTAAAGTTAAACCTGACGATGTTATCGAATTATTCTACATGTATATACATATACATATACGTATGATATGTATATACATATGATATATAAATTTATTATATATAGATTCCTTTTTAATTTTGTAATTATTCTATAAATAGATTTATTTTTATTAGAATATAAATTGATTTATATTGAAAAAAAGAAGAATAAATATATTTTTAAATCTCTTTAAAATCTTGGGTTCTCCTTATATCTTTCTTAGTTTTATTATGTATGCTTTAAGTCTCTAATACATTTATGACAATTTTTATTTATCCTTTTAAGTGAATTTTTTTAATTGAAATATGTGCAAACAAAACATAAAACTTCAAGAAGTAAGTATGAAAAGAATGTACAAAAAAAAATTCACATTTGTGTATTTCAGATTTACGTTTTCCTCAAAACATGTATTATTATTTCACATAATTTAATCGTTCTTTTATTTATTTGAATATTTATGATATTTTTTATTATTTTTAAGTATCGTTATTTTTCAAGTTCATGATAATAATCAAAATTCATAGATAAGGCTGTGAATTCACATTGCTTTCAATCATGCTAAATGCCATCATCCAGAAGTGTGTGGCAGTCAATTAAATCTCTGAATTCTTCGCGGAGGGATTAGCCTTCATCTCGAACGATCTCGTATCGAAGATCGAGTCCTGTGTTCAGGGATCGTGCATGTCGTCACGAAAGAAGGAGCAAAAGCTGTGCGTGAATGCGCAATCGCAAGTCTTTTCGCCCATGTATGGTCTCCGCGTCTTTATAAGTAGAAACTCTTTCGGCGTGGACAGAAGCGATAACTCGCTCTGTCCGCGCGGTATTCGCTCGAGAGAGCGGCCCATATATGGGCAGTGATTTTTTAGCATAAGATTCCGACGCGACCGTAGCAACGACTTTTTCTACCTTTCGGTGTGCACGGTTAATGGGTCATACTTTTTATAGATATACACGCGTACTAGAATCGATGCGCGTAATGTAAAATGTAAAAAACGGTTTCGGTGAAGAGGAAAGGAACGTTTAAGATTTAAGAATAAAGCTTCTTCTACTTTGAACGATCATTTCCTCGCTCCCTGAATATTTTCGAGCGATTTAGATTAAAGATAGCATTGGTTTAGCGTTTCCTATGTATCTTAATTCATCTTAAACAATTATTCAAGAGACACATTTTTTACACTTTTATAAGACGTTTTCTAATCTTTCAAATACGTCTCTTACGAGATGTTGTTTGAGAGATAACATTGCGGAAGTTCTAATTAGATAATAGAACATTAATCGTCCTAATGTACCTAATGCTTCCTCCGGAAAGGAAACTTGGAGGCAACCGCTGAAACCACTATTACGCTAAAGGGGAGATCAGGGTGGCGAGAAGGGAACTTAATATCGCGCGCGGTGCGCGACGCGTAACAATGACCGTCTTAGTTTTCGCTTCAGTGTCAGCCCAGCCGGCGAGTGACGTTTTGTTTCCTTCATATACGAAATTAAACCCGTTCCTTCTCGCACGCGTCTGCGTCTCTCCGCGAGAGAAGGTGGGCGGCGGCAGGAACCAGAGAGGGCCCCTCGATATATGCGTGTGTGTATATATATATATATATATATAGACGACCCCCTGTCCCTCAGGGGGGGCGGGAGGGGGGCGGCGAGGGAGCGCGTACTATTCTCGGACAACTTTACAGATCCGAGTAACTTCTTTCGACCGTGTGTTCAACTCCCGGTTCGCGGATGGCGTGAACGTCAGTAATCGTTTGCGAACCGCGCCGTGCCGATCGGAAGCGTCGCGTCGATCCGATCCAGAGAGATCGCCGCCCCATGTAAGATCCGCGCTCCGACACTCGATCACTCTTGCGCGATCAATCTTGAAGCGAGAATAAGCGATATCGATAAGATTTTGCGAGGCGAAAGTAAAATAAAACGAAATGTCGTGACACAACATTGAACTATGACGTCTTTCTCTTTTCTTCCGCGGCAAAGTCTGGAAACAACGGTTATTCTCGTATTCTACAAATATTTTGTGTTTTATTATATCGTAGAACCTTATGCTTTCTCTGTTTGAACAAATATTCGTCGTTTTATCGTGAATTGTCAGTTTCTCAGATCGGACACAATGATAACAAAATCGGAGTGTCGAAATGTCGATAAAATAAATTCAAAAATTTTATTATAGAAAAAGATTTTGTATTTTTCAAATTCTTAATTCGACTTATAAATCCTTTTCTTTTTTCATTTTTATATTAATATTTACATAATTAAAATTAAACTCATTAGGTAGAATTCGATTTAAAATTTATCGCAGAATTCATCGCTAAAGCATCATTTTATTTTGCATCATATATAGTTGTAGTATTATGATCTCTGACGAAAAGTGAGCAATCACATAAATCAGTTTATTAAGTTTGTCGATGTAACTTGGCCTCATTGTTGTAACAGCGGTAACACCTCGTTGACCTTCTAGTGCTCGAAGTGTTTTCCTTCAAGATCCATTCTAGCCAAATATTTGGTTTGTATCGAGTATACTGTGCACGTGCAATGATTATAGATTTAAGGGAAAAGGTCTGATAGATCAAGATCAGCTTCAAGAAGAAATTGAATTTACGAATGCGAAAGTTCTTTTCGTGCTTGGAGACTATAATATTATTATAAGCAAATACTTTAATTTTCAAAAATTAATGTGATGCTTCGTAGGTGAAAATAATTCTAAAAATGATAATAATGTGCACTACTTCAAAATAATCATCGTAAAATGTGTCTTCTTTATTTTTCGCGATTGCGAGAAACCTAAATAATCGTTTTGTTGTCATCGTCGTGAGAAAAATTACTTGATCGCAGGAGAGATTTATACTCGTAATTCTCTTTCTATTCGCGATCCGCGATTCATTCACGTTCGTCGCAATCTATTCGGTTCGTAATCCGTTGGCATATTATATTTTCAGAGGAAGGTGTGGAGAGGGCATTAGGCGGAACGAGGAAGATCCTCCTAAACGCGCGACTTCTCGTCGAGGGGTTTCTCGTAAATAGAAAATCAGTCGGTAACACGAGGTAAAATATTTTTTAACAAATTTGTGTGTGACGTGATTCTTTTTCGAAAATTTATTAATTATTAATATAGTAGCGCATTTTACAAATTTTATATTCTTTCGAGTGAATTTTATATTGCATTTATTTTATATTTAAAAAATTAATATTTCATACAATATTTTCACTTACAGAAAGTAATTTTTGAAAACATTTGTAAACAAACTGTTTATTATACTGGATATTGAAGTAATAGCCCTTATTATTAAAATAAAATTAAATGTATATTAAAAATATATATTTACATATTGGAAAATAATATTCCAATAAACGGTTTAATTGAATGATATCATTTTTATTAGAAAAACATACGTTTCTACGTATTGGAAACTAAGACGAGATTCTTATTGTTGTATATCATTGTATATCATTGTATATCATTGTATACTTGTATATCATTTATAATTTAGTTAAAAAAATACGAATTATATTTTTATAACAAAGAAATAGGTGCTAAAATTTGTAAATTCGATGACAACCGAATGACCGATTTGTATTCAAGTGAAGTGGTATCTTGAATCTCCTTCTTGACTTTAAAGTGTCGAGATAAAAAAATTGTATTTTAGTATCATCGCGTCATCTCGTAAAAACTTTTAAACAGATAATTACAGATAACGATGTGCCATATAAATATGGCATTACATTGTTATGAAATCTTTGTTGACCACGTAATATTATATTACTTATTTCGTAATATTTTAAATATGTAGAAACATTGGAGAACCAGACAATTATATGAAAATACAATTCTTTTATTATAAAAATGTTTATTTAATAATATAGAAGCTGAAATATTGTCGTATGATGTCGAAAATGTATTTTACACTATATTGAACTTATTATTAAATTATACGCAAATGTCATACTTTGTGATGCAATGTAAACCAAGTCGCCGTTCTGTAAAAAGATAACTTTGATCATATTATATATTTAGCAAACGACAATGTTCGCATTTATGAAGTTCATCTTTCGGATGTAATATCAGACCTTGGAAAAAAGTCACGTATACGTGCGTGTATCAAAAATAACTTGGCATCTCGCCGTGCGTCGCGATTCGTAATTTAACTTGCGTACGATTAATTTTCTATTATTTGCGGAAAATTCGACAGACCGCTTAAAATGACAGATTTATTTCTTGGATGCTTTAACAAATTAAAATACCTTTCTCGTGTCTTACTCATTGAGATTCAAATTGTTTTCGAGTCTTTTCTAAAAAAATGTACTAAACTAATAATAATAAATACACGTAAGAACGTGTGCAAAGAAAAAAAGACGCATGGGTAACTTCCTGTGAATGTGTCGCTATTTATAATGAGGTGCTTTATTTATGGATAGGCCAAATGTAAATCGTGTTGAGGCTGGACAGTTTAGTCGGACACGTGCGCGAATCTTCACTCAAGCGAAGCTGATCGATTTCATGCGCCTTCGTAAACTTCAATCAATTTCAATCAATTGTGTTGTAATCATAATCACAAACCCAGACTTTTTATTAGCAAAAAAAAGCATTACCGATCTGCCACTATTAAAATCCGGATCCTTTATTAAAGTTTATTCCTCAGTTTTCTTCCTCAGTTTCTTTTCAAATCGGATTATTCCAAGTTCTCATTTCTCAGATAGCTCACTAGATTCTCAGTTGCAAGATTTTATTGTAAATTATTGTTTAAACGTCTAGAAATTAATTATCGATTTTATTTTTATTTTACACCGCAATATATACCTTATTTCCAAATTATATTTTTTAATCGTGACACTTCACGGTGCAGGTGAATCGTCGCTGCGAATTAGGACGAGCGACCATTCTGAAAAGGGACGCTTCAAGGGAACGACAACATCCGTTGTCAAGGAAAGCTTCTCGGCTTGACGTATCCTGAAGCAATCCAAAGTACAAATTGGTGAACATCTCGACTCGTCAGCAGGTTTTCACGGAAACGGAGTCGCTCCAGCTGATCTCGTGTCAGCATCCCCCTCCCCCCACGCACCACACACACACGCGCGTGCACGCACGCGCCTACATTGAAAAGGTGCGTTCGATTCACCGGCACACGTACGAACGCCCCCATACAGGTAGGTTCACCGATATCTACCTCTTCTCCCATGGCTGCGTAGGTGTGTGCGTTCGTTGCTAGTGATGGACACGATGCCCTTCCGAACTGTTCTTCGAACAGTGTCGACATTTGTTGCTAAAGTATGATCGAGTATACACATAGATGGAAAAAAATGAAGAGATAAGAGCGAAAAAAATAATAATAAATAATAAAGGCGTTTAAATATGTTTACGTTATTTTTATATACGAGGATTTATGAATCCACGAAGAATTCAGTTAATTTTTAGGATGATTTTGATGATCTTCATGTTTTTGAATAGAATTAATTATTTAATATCAAGTAAAAAAATTCTATAATTGTTTGAACGTAATTGAAACTATTTCTTTTCTTTTATAAAGTTAATACTTTATTATTAATTTCTATTATTGCATTGAAATCAGAAGACCGATATAAAAAATTTTGTTGTCTCTCGATTTTCAGAAAATAGTAAATTTAGTAATATTGTTTCCTTTCGTTTCATTTTTGTTAAATCTTTAAGTCTTATGTCTATACGTAATCTTACGTATGGCTGAATTTTTGAAATAAAAAGGTTCATTATTAATTGCTGAATTTTTTATCGCGTTTTTCTCATTTGCCTTAATTATTATTAACTAAATTCTTTAAATTTAATAAAACTATATAGTTTAATTACATTTTGTATTCGAACATCTACAGTGTGGAGTCGAAATAAATTCGAAGACCTACATTAAACGCGCATGCGAATCCGAAGGTTAACTAATATGTCAACAAATAAATCAGCTGTTAAGCCGACGCACAGCAGCAGGCTGTTTATATGCCATAGCCAGCAGAGCTCTCTTTAAAATCTCAAACCGACAGTTTGTGCCCATCGCTACTTCTCGAATCACCAATACAGTCACGTCTCGTCCTCGTCACCGATAGCACTCGCAACTACCAACACTTTGATCCCCAGGCACCAATACACAGGGGCGCGCACCCCACCACCCTCGTACGTGAGAGCGTAGCAGCGGACCAGCCGATAAAATGAATGAGAATGATAAGTCAGTTAAGTGCGAGAACTCCGCCGAGGAGGAGGAGGACGAGATGTTCGAGCGTGAGTTGGCCGAGGACGCGCAGTGGAAGCGAATTCAACAGAACACCTTCACGAGATGGGCGAACGAGCGGCTGAAGGCGGCGAACAAGCACATCGGCGACCTGGAATGCGACCTGTCCGACGGTCTCCGGCTGGTGAGCCTCATCGAGGTGCTCTCGCAAAAGCGGCTGCCGAAACACAACCAGCGGCCCACCTTTCGCTCTCAAAAGTTGGAGAACGTGTCCGTCGCGCTTAAGTTCTTGGAGGACGAGGGCATCAGGATTGTCAATATCGGTGAGTAAGCACCATGTGCGTGCTGGATCACGCGCCGCAAAATAGATTCGTCCTGTCCTCCTACCACCCCAAGGAAAGGAATTGATCGGATTGATCGCGAAATAAAAGCGCGATAAAAGACCGATGAGGTTAGCGGGATTTATTAGGGAGAAGATCAATCGATCATCCGAATGATGACAATGTCGCGTCCTATAATTAGTCTTAGAGGTATTCTTCAGGATATTTCCATAGGACGGTTAAATTGAGACAGTTGCAACGCCGTAAGTAGTTTGCTACTAACGCACCCTAGCGCATTCATTAAAGAGAAAGAGAGGTAATTATGAAAAATAATGATTACCACTTTATTTTCTACTCTGTTTTTCGGATAAAGCGATCACTTACTGTGAAGCGATTGTCGATGGAGATACTCGTTTGCCAGGATCTCGGACCTTCTATCCAATTTTAATGTCAATTAGCAAATAATTTCTAGATGAAAATATAAAATTATTTTTGACTAGATAATACCTCTACTTCAGTATTTAACGAAAATTTATTCTAATGAGTAATTTCTAATTTTTGTCGAATTTTTATCAGATATTTTATCATGATCTTTAGATTTTTGAATTACAAATCTCTCGATACGTATTACACCACCACGTGGTAGTTACGATTACCGCGGGTGACGTGAACCGAGTCTGCGTCGTTTTACGGATTCTGCGTAGATTGGATTTATCGATCCGTAGATTTCTGCACGTCAGAAACTAATAGTTTTTTTTTTCAAGAAGTTGAGAGAATTGCGATTAAGAAATAATTTTAATGAAAGTTGAATAAAGTAGTCTGCGCGAAAATATATTCGAAGTAAAATTCAAATTTCAACGTTACGATGCGTGTATATTCACACATAAGCAATACTTTATAAAAATAAACATCGTGGAAAGATATCTTTCTCATATGTTTTTCTCGCTTATTAGAACATAGGCAAAGTTGAGTTATTATTTGTTCATAAGAAAAAATATCGCCTCCGATTGCTATTTAATAAAATAATTATTTTTTATTATTATATCAGATTTATGAACAATTATGAATATCAACGTTAATTTATATCATCTATTTATTTTAATTCAATAATATGTCACGCTTTTGAGAGCGACACATTTAAATTAATATAATAAATGAAAACGAATTTATTGAAATAGCATAAAGATTAAATGACAAAGAGATACAAATATAATTATCACTATTCGTAAAACATTATTAGATTTAAAAGAAAAAGGTGGAAAAGTGTGTATATGTATGCGAAAGAGAGAGGTCGTTTAAAATTAAAATGTTGATTCCGAGAGAAAGCAAATTTCACACGGTGCATTATAAATGAACCAGAGAAATCTCAAAGAATACTTTTGTATTCAACTGTGTTTGCAAAATAATTTAACTTTTTGAATCATGATAGAACACATCGTCCATTATTTATTATAAAATTAATTGCATTATAAATATAAGATTTAAATTGATTTTACTTAATTTATTTTATTTCAACGAATTGAAATTAATACAAAATGCGAAATTTGTAATATCAATTTTAAGTGCTTGCTTGCTTGATGGAACGTGTAATCGAAAACCGTGAAGAGCGATTAGTCGGCAAAACTCGAAGAGCGGCGTCGTCGAATAATTAATCGCGCGTGTTGCTTACGTGGAGATCGATGTAGATCCGATTGATAATGTGATAACGCTTGCGATATTCGCGTCGCGAATTAACAGCGAATTCGGTTAGTTTGCACTAGTGCGCACTGGTGCAAACCTTAAAGGCTGTCACATATAAATTAACGTATTAACGTAAAAGCATATGCATTGTATACAAGCAGATTGGACTGGGAGGAGCTCTATTAATTACATTGTTTAATAAAATTTATATTGAGTGTATTAATATCATGCTCTTTTAGATAGATTACTGTCCAGCAGGTTTTAATTTGTGCGCACTAAAGTGCAGTCTATTGAATTCGCTATAAAAATTTGATCAATGTTCGATCAGGATTACAAAGATCAAAAAAGATAAAATTATTAAGTCTTTGATAATTGTATATTATTTAATATTGTAGAGTTATAAGAAAGGGATTAAAAATTTTTATTCATACAATAATATTTAAGAGAAGAAAAGTCGTGTCGATTCGGTGCAGCGAAATCTCGTACTCGCGGTAAAGCGTTTCTTTATCACCAGAAGAAAAGTGCGCGGTTGAATGTAATAATACACGGAATATTTTAGCGTGTTTCTATTTTCGGATTTATGATCAACGGTTTTAGAGCGCGGATGCATCGAGCAAATAAAAGACATTGTAGAGCATGGCGAGAGGGTTGTGGATCGATGACGCTCGCCCGGGCTACCCCGGGAAAGCAGAGAGTAGCGATGGGATAATGCTGTTCACGTACTTTTTGTGGATGAACAAACTAACGTCATCATTTAAATTCGATTCGTCCATTTAGAAGCTTCGCTAACAATTTTTTTTTAATTAAATACATCGATGCACTCGTTAAAGGCGTGTGTCAGCTCTTTCACCATTTACTTCATCTATAGAACGTAGAACGAATCTTTTTTCATACAGAATATTTTAATTACG